GCAGACTCACTTCTTTTGTTTGCAGCCTTTGCTGGAATGTCGTCTCTCTGAAACCAGGAGTTTAGAGTTGAGCAGCCCGACCCAAACACAGTGGGTCCCAGCAGCTGGTCCTGTGTTAGGTTGTGAAGTTTTTCTGTGTAAAGCTTTGGGCTTTGGTAGGTTGGATTATTCTCAAATGCAACTTAAAAAGAAGGGAAAAAATAGTTTTGGTCTCAGGTTTGACAGTAGCTACTAGGTGGGTATGGAGCTTCTCCTCCAAGTTTGAATGTGTTTTCGCCCAAAGTGTTTTCATTTCCAACAGCTAACGGTGTCCCTTGTTGTGAATTATGTAAGATGATTTTGGGAAATTAATGTTAGTCTCCTGTCCATAATAATCAGGTCAGCAAGTGCTAATGTCATGTAGGTTACACCTCATTTCACAAGGTCTCTGTCAACCAGACAGGTCAAAGCTTTTCACCTCCCTGAATGCCAGGCCTCGGCCTCCAAAGGTTAGACAAATGCCATGGCAGGGAAGTCTCCCTGCCAGTCAGAGCTCTCCCAGAGATAACGTCATCGTCTATTAGAGAAACACGCATGCCGGGTAAGTCCCCGGTAATCCTGGGGAAGGTTTATTACTGGAATCCTGGAGGACCTTTTCAAAGCAAACAGGATGAATGGAAGAGAGGGAAAAATGCTGAGGGAAGGCCGAGGCACTAGTTTAATGAGCTGCAGTGTGTGGGAGAGCTAGTCCATCAGTGGAGATAATGGTGCAGCATGAGAATGGAGAGGAAGGCGGCGTCTTCAGAGAGAAAAGAGCAGGATGAAACGAAGATATTTATGCAAAGGAAAAGATAGATAGATCACAAATTAGGGATTGCCTCAGCACTCTGGTACAACGGCTGTTAGTGTTAAATCTAGTTGTTTTCCCCTTGCTGAAGTTCTGCTAACAATATCATTACCATGTTTGATATCATCATTGGGGAGAATGCTTGATTTGAAGCAGAGGGGGCAAGAGACAGTGAAGCTATGTACGTTTCCACCTCTGTAAGGTGGTTAGATTTACAGCTGAGGAAACATTGCCCACACTCCTTTGCTCCTGCTCTTCTTTCTCACGTCTCTGTTCTCGATGTCCATATTGATTTCTGTGTGGGTTACTGAGACCCGCTCAGGCCCACATAGGTTCCCTCTAAAGGGCTGAATTTTCTCCCATTTTGGGCGGCTCAGTGTTGACCACCGGAGACAGATCTGATGGGTCAGGTTTGAGGTTGTACATCGGTGAGCTCTGACCCCCTGAATTCCTAGGAAACTTTTTTGATTAGAGTCAGGAGGATTTGGTCGCCTGAAGAGGAGATAATGAGGGGAAAGATCTTGGATGAAGTGAGACTGAGGTAAGAGAGATTAGGTGGGCACCTGGATGGAGAGCCAGGGAGGGATAATGGAAGAGATGCACAGAGAAATGAGATGGACTGATTGTCAGTCAGACAAAGCAGGTAGCTGTTTGAACTCAGAACTCCAAGGACCCTGAGCTTAATGCGTTTCAACTAGTTTGTGCTAAAATAATGGAAAAAACATGTACCGCTATAACACAGTATCAAATGACACATTAATTCTACTTCCTACTTATATTAATTCGACTGACTTTTTAGGTCTTATTCTTGTAAATTGAGTTAAACCTGGGACAAAAACAAGTTGTGAATACAGTGTAGCTTCACCTTTTTTTTTCTTTTTGGGTGGGAGGGGCATTTTTGCCTTCATTCGGACAGTGCAGTGAGAGCCCGCGTATCATCACCTTTAAGTTGATAGAGCAAATTTGTTAGCAAACAGTTGCTTATTTACACATCTAGTAAATGCAGAACAACATTAGCTTTCATTTTGAGTCATGTTTCTGGTCACCTGATGAATGTAAGTCCAGTATTCGCTCCCCTTCCAGGTCTGTTTCGGTCTCCACCGACCCCTTGGCTGAAATACCTGGCTCTAGTGCTGCTAAATGCTCCGGTATCTGTTGTTTAGTGCTGGGGAGGTGGAGTGCCGTGGGTTAATTGACAACAGTTGCCTTTTGCCGCCGGAAATGATGCTGATGAAACCGACAAGTGGATGAAAACAGTAGCAATGTGAGCCAGGCAAGGAGAAGAATAACTTGGAAGATGAAGCCATCCATGGTTGAGATAGAAACCAAGATGCAGAGACAGTTCGGCTGCAGCTGGTCGTGTCTCCTGGGGATCTTCCCTCATTCACATTGTGTTGTATCCCAAGTGGATTTATCATCATGGGAGGACACAGAGAAAACTAATGATGCATAAGGGGGAATAAAGCTAAATTCTTAGGGTTTCTTGGCATGTGTGTTGCTTATTTTAGAGGAAATGCACCAGCTTTAGTGTGTTGGGGAATATTCCATTCTCCGCCTCCTCATTGTAACCCAGATTTCCTCATCGCTGAGCTGCCAGCTTCAAAGGGAATGCCTCGTCTCTTCTCACAGTCTGTGAAATGAGCCAGCATCAAGCGTGCTCGCATGCGACTGTGAACGCGTCGCTGACTGAGCAGAGTCCTGTGAAGTGATTTTTCCCTGTGCCCCACCCCCCCCCACACACACACACCCCACCCCCTCCACCCCCCACTGCCGGCAATGTGATAATGTAACGCCTGAGTGGGCCGGATGACGTCACAGAAGAGGATTTGAAGCCGCCACATGGGGCTTGGGTTTTCCTGACAACCCGAGCCAAGTACAACCAAGTACAAAGCTCTGTCACAGATGGTTCTGTGGAAGTTACAGCAAGCTAAGTCACGACTCACAAAGGAAGCACATGGAGAGATGAAGAGTGGGAAAGGATCACAAGTGATGCACATGTTCGCTGTTGATCTTCAAGGCGAGAGAAGAGCTAAGCAGTGATGTCGTCCTCTTCAAAACTGTGTGAACGGAGCCGATTAGGATGAAAAAAATGCAGTGATAAAGAATGAAGTGAAAGTATAACCCATAGGCAGATGACCTAGAGATGGTTATCAATAACAGGAGGAGGAAGTGACTAACAGAGAAAAAGGGAGGAGGACAGGGAGGAAGTGAGGCACAGTGTGATGAGTTTCAAGAGAAGAGAAAAGGATGCTGTCTCTGCAGCATCCGTGGTAAAAGCATTCTTCTAAGAGACAGATGGAGTGTTTTTATTTCTGGAGTCCCTACTTGCACCTTTATTCTTTCTCCTCCACCGTACAACCCTTCCATTAACAGAAGAGCATGAGGTAAATGTGGATCTCCAGCTGCCGGCCATGGTCCAGTTAAGCCAAAAGGACTTTAAGGCCACAGTATGATTGAAAGTGTCATCTGATCACATCTAAAGGCAGAAGTGTTCATATCTGTTCCAAAAGGCTCCACGCCTGCCTTCAGACGGTAAAGACTCACTGAAAGATGGGAATGACCAGCGACATCGATTAAAGAAAAGAAAAGAAAAAGAAAGAGTCGAACATTAAATGTTTTATTTATTTAATTTGGAAACTTTATGCAAATACAGGTGAAGTTTAATCTGGAGCCTCTGCAGTGATTTGATGAAAAACTGACAAAGGAAAGTGATGCAGCAGTGGGACAGGAAGTTCAGGAGGATTATTACAATAATTTGTGGGATCCCTCTTTTGTGTGACCCCAGCCACACCAAGATTACAGCTTCACACAAAAAAGTGCTGCTTGGCACAAAGTCACACGAATTGCTGGACAATGTCATACGTCGCTTATTTACACAATTCTTGCTAACTACTCAGCCACTCGCCCGCTTCAGAGCGTTAACGCACAGAGGACAGCGAGACGTGATGAATCATACAAAGTGGGATAAAGGAAGGTATTCATGCTGTTGTACAGTACACGGAACAAGTGACAGAAGTAGAGAGAAGAATGAGAAAAGAATGCTTGAAAAAGACATTAAACACCTGCCTTCTGTCACCTCTGCACCTTTTTGCTGTGGAAGTTGGCTTCTTTGTTTCAGAAAGTTACAAAAATTGTTGGACACAGCCCTCTCACCCCCCCCTAATTTTTTAATATCAGAGAAATGTGTGTGTGTGGGGGGGGGGGGTTCAGACGCTGTTCAACAATCTGACAAGCACTTTCTTTGAAACACAGCGAGACCTTTAGGCTGCAGCCAGAGGCCTCTGCCAGGCATCACTGAGCCAGCAGGCCAAGTGTACGCTCGCTTGATTCCTGCTATGACTGCCAACACGTGAAGAGTCCCGCTGTCTTCAGCTTCTTCCCTCCTCGCTTTCTCACTCCAGTGCCGTTTGACTCATCTGAGCCAGAAGCTGCTGACAGGCTCAGTTCCAGGGTCAGTGTTTGCATCTCCCAGTGGTTGTCTTGTTGGGAAAGGATGCAAAATGCAAAACTACGCTTGCATCAGTATGAAGTCTGCGTCTATACACTGAAGGATGTGGAACTTCTCTCAAAAATATGCAACTTGATAAACTGACATGAAAAGTTGTTGCTTGTTGCCCCCGCAGTCTCTACAGGAGAGGAGGTTTTGTGTTCCCTCTCAGTCCTTTGTGGCATATTTATTAGCTGCGCAGTGGTGCAGGAAGCTGTTGGACTAATCTTTCATTTGACTTGCTACATGTGGCAGCGAGAGCCTCCTGAAACCTCCACCAGATTGTGTGTGTTGTGTATCAGGGGGATCAACACATGCTCGGTGTGTTTAACAGCTGTGTTGTGTGCAGTTTCACTTATAATTTGAATTAGCTGTGTGTAAAAACAGTAAATGAAAACTGCTGTTCATATATTGTGCACAAATTATTCTCAGTAATTTAATGTTTCATGCTCATGTGTCTGATATTTGGCACCTTTTGAAGCTTTTTTTAAGTTTTAATTGTGATAACAAGCCACCTTCTGTTTTGTTTTGCTTGAATGAGCTGACATCAGTGCAGATGTATGAGTCTGATAATAACACACAGCACTGGTTTAAAGCTTATGCAAGTTTTATGGAGTATACACGTGTGCATGCGTGTTTGTGTGTGTGCTCTGCGTTGTAACTGCCATCTGTCATCCCGTGATGTAGGTGCAGGTATGGTTGTGGACTGGGAGCAGGAGACGGGACTCCTCATGACGTCTGGAGATGTCAGAGTCATCAGGATCTGGGACACTGACAGGGAGATGAAGGTCCAGGTACTGTCTTCACTGCACCTGTCTGATTTTTGTTGCTCAGATACATTTTGTAAATATTTATCATCTGGCGAGAAATACAGCATTCAGGCCTTGCAGGTTTGTTACCCACCAGAGATCATTGTGTTCTGTTCACATCTTATTTTCTAAAAATAAGGGAATGGAGTTTAGAGACTTGCAAGTTTGAAGATAATGAACTGTTGGTAGGTGGTGACAAAATGTTCCCGTCTACCTTCTTTCTAGTTCTTAAATCCTTCTGGTCACTTTTCTTTCCTTAAGTTTGATGTATTTCTTTTTTGGTAATAAATATTCTATCATATTTTCAAAGGAGTCCACCTGTAAACTTTATTGACACCTACACTACTTCAGTGTCGACATCATAGACTGGACATAAAGATGGACGTAGCCTCCATGAAATCATAGATTTGTGACAGCTTTTGAAGCTGAGAGTGAGCTGCACCGCAATCGACATCTTGGTAGTGCCTGACCCCGCCTAACTCAGGGCTAATCCAAAAATGGGCACAGAGGAAGGGCGTGTGCTGAGCTGCTCACCCACCTGTCACTCAAAGAGACTCACCCTCAATTACACATGAGTTATATAAAAACCCCCCCCCCCCCCTCGTACAGGTGTCATGAAGGAGGAAATTAGCTAAAGAGACCAAACTGTTTTTTGTACCAGGCTGTAAACATGTTTATTTGTGCTAAAAGTTGGACATTTTAACATGAAATAATGTTGTTATAAGAGGTTACATTTTCTGAGTAGAGGCATATAATAAAGTTGCAACTCATTTTAACATGCTACTAAATTTTGAGCTGGACTAATGGCCTGTTTAGCTCCACGGGGAAGAAATGCTCAGATGTTTGATCGTGCTTTTTCACTGCAGCTTCAACATGATCTGAATTAACTTCACACAATACATAAATACATAACAGTGGAATTCTTGCCAACAAAGATATTCAATAGAAGTGTCAAAGATCATTTCAAACCTCCGTGTAAATTAACATTGGACTAAAAGTGGAGCAGGATCCTGAATATGTATATTTGGGGATAAAAGGTGATGTCACATTTCAGAGTAAAGTGAACTAGACAGACCATCATCTGTAGATGGTCATCGTATTCATCAAAAACAATGAAGATAACATGGTGGAGATACAAAAGAACAAATAAATAATGTTTGTGAGCTTCTGTTTATGAACTCTTGATGTTTCAGCGGAGTGTCTGCAGTGTGCTGTAAACTATGTTTTGGTTAACTAATGGAAATCTGTGGCGAAGCCAAGAGCCATTAGTGCAGTTTCTTCTTTTTCTTTTTTCTCAGTTTTTACACATCTAATGGTCCTTGGTGAGCTAATCATTGTCTTGATGGATGGACTTAATACAAGTACAAATGGCCCCGGCCTCGCCTGTGGCTGCATATTGATGCTCGGTCTAACTTCAAATGAGCTAACAGTCAACAGTGCTCATGATTGATGAGTCAGAGAAGGTTTAACGTGAAATTAGCGTAACGACTGTGTTACCTTGGTTGCTTGCTTTACAAGGATTTGTATGTGTGTGTGTGTGTGTGTGTGTGTGTGTGTGTGTGTGTCCACCAGGACATCCCGACAGGAGCAGACAGCTGTGTGACCAGTCTGTCCTGTGACTCCCAGCGTTCACTCATCGTTGCCGGCCTGGGTGACGGATCTGTACGTGTCTTCGACAGGAGGATGGGTCCTAATGAATGGTAACACACACACTGTCCTGCATGCAACCTCTGACCGTATCAGTATCTGATCGTAGAGGGGGTTAAATCTGATCTTTGTGATTTCATTTCCAAGCTCATTTTTTTCTAGTCTTTTCTACTGTATCACCATCATTGAAATACATTCAAGAACACACGCAGCAGTTTCTGTGGGCATTAACTCCTACAAAATCCTGCATTATTCACTTCTCTAATCTATATTTATTATATATAGCATGCTGTAAATCTTCCTTTGGGGTTGGCACCTCTTTTAATGGACCCTGGTGGCACTGCATCACCCCCCAGTTGGTTAAACATTATTTTAATTTCAGTCCCAAAGGGGGAAAACAAAGCAGTTAAACCATGAAGTGGCCCATAAATCTTTAAGTAAAGCTAATTTAATAGCTCCCTTCAGGCATGGAGTTACATCTTTCAGCCCTATGTTGCTCCCCCCAGGATTAGTCCAGGACTGGTAGACAGGCACATACAGGTCATGTTTACAATATGCTGAAGGAACTGTTCAAGGTTTAAATGTCAAACAGACACGGCAGATTATAAGATGCTTTTTTTTGTTACTTTAGCTTCTATGTTGAGCAAAAAAATTCAAATCTTCAATTATTTGTCAGGTGCACTTCCTGTCACACCTGTAGTCAGACTGTACAGTAACACTACAGGATGTGGGTAGTTCAGGTACAGCTTAGTTCTGCAGCGATGGTCACAGGGTTTTTATTCCAGCACTAAAGTCATCTCAGCCTCATCACGATGTTATTGCTTTTTTCAGTCATAATCACATGGTGCCACCCAGTGGTTACTCATCTATATTACATGTTACAACACAGGGAGACAGCTTTAGCATTTTACACTCTGCTGGGTCTTTTTGTCAATAACCTCCCTCTCACATATGGGAGGAAGACTCAACACATTCAGATAAATTCGGTCGCCACCAGACACTGTTACTGCTAGTTAAATATTATATTCATGTGTTGTTTTTTATGTTTGTTCTGAATATATTGTGGATTAATGTCAGTTCATACAGTGCTTGACTGGATTGTAACACAGACCAGAATTTGTTGTCAAGTAGCTGAAGTTGGACGTCAGTCTACATTTTACACTTTTGCATTATTTCACAATATTATACAAACATCTTTTTTATTTGGTGAAGCAAGACAAAGACAAGGAGAGTGTTATAACATAACATAGCATGACAGCATACACTGCTAGTGTTACAAAACAGCTGACAGCTCTTGTTATTGTTATAATATTTTGACTTATTGGGTTGGAGGGAGGGATGGAGGGAGAATATTATACAGATATGAGTGAACGTTAACGTTCTCCAACTGTAGTTGTTGATGTTCACAGTCTCGCAGTCTCTGTACTTCCACTGAAATGTGACCTGAACTGACATTTGTTGTGTGTTGTTGTTCGTCTCTGCAGTCGGGTGATGACCTACAGGGAGCACGGAGCCTGGGTGGTCAAAGCTCATCTACAGAAGGAGACAGATGGACATATTATCAGTGTCAGGTACGCTCTTTCTCTTTCTTCTGAGATGCATTCTGTAATCTTACTGTTTGTAAAGTTTGTACTGTTTGTTTGTTGGTTTTTTTGGGGTTTTTTTTTTTTGCCCTTACTGACTTTGATGCTTTCCACCAGTGTTAACGGAGACGTGCGATTCTTTGAACCGCGGACACCAGACTCCATCAATGTGCTGCAGACGGTGAAAGGGTTAACAGCGCTGGACATCCACCCACAGGCTAACCTGTTCGCCTGGTGAGTTTGTTTGTGTAGATGCAGGCCTCAAGAAAAGGATTGTCAACTTTTGTTAATATTAAGATCAAATCCTCCCACAGTATTCTTCCCCATGTGTCCTTCATAAGAGCAGAGATATTGATTTTCTGTGTTAACCTTTGAACTGACTTACGGAAGATGATTTATTTATCTGCATATGAGTCAGACAGGAAAATATATAGCTTGACAATACCCCTGACATCCACCCATGAGGTTAAAATTCACCACAAAAGAAATCCCATTCAGAACACACAGCATGTGATTTAATTTACACACTCTGCCACAACTCCCTCCTTTCTATCTCTGTCTCGGTTTTCTCCTGCAGTGGATCGATGAACCAGTTCATAGCGGTCTACAATGCAAACGGCGATGTGATCAGCAACATTAAGTACTATGACGGCTTCATGGGACAAAGGATCGGGGCCATCAGCTGTTTAGCCTTCCATCCTAACTGGGTAAACAAACACTGATCACTTTTTACTACAGAATTCATGCAGTTTTATATGTGGGCCTGTGGTTATCAAACATTTCTGAAAAACTCTAAATGTTATAGTTTAATAGTTGTAGTTTATTTCATAATAAGGCATGATATTTTAAAAATGTATCATGTTCTGTCTTAAGAATCTTAATATTACTAGTTAACTACAGTATATCTGTTCATATATCATGTTTGAAAGGTCAGTCTTAGAGAAAATTATAAACAGCTAGCATATATATTTAGCATGGATCCACTCGTCACTCTGCTAATGATCCAAGCTGTTGTAGCTGTATTTTGCTAGTTGCTAGCAAACGCAAATTACCAAGTAAGATTACACTAGTGCGTTTCTAAAGAGAATACTATAAATGTCTCGACCAATAGCTTTGATACTCTGAGAGGTTTGACAACTACAGACACAGCCGTAGAAAGACTGCACACTGTTTTTAAAGTTTGATATGAACAATGTACTGTACTTTATCCTGGCATTCCATGTAGCAAACACATTAGCTTCTCTGCCAGGAACTTGTCTTTTACTTTAGCCCACTGCCCCTGAAGTTAGCATTAGCTAACTCTAAATTGCTCCATTAGCGGGCTTTTAAGCTTTACCACATTTGTGAGGGAAACATAACATGGACTGTCCTCTAAATAGGATGCTCTCAACATACTGTGTTTGCTAGACTTTAGACTTCCCCCTCTGTCATGTTTTTTGTGCGTGAACACACACATCACATTTCATGTAATAAGCTGTGATTGTGTAACCTGTCTTCTCTCTCTGTCTCCCTCCAGCCACACTTGGCAGTAGGCAGCAACGACTACTACATGTCCATCTATTCAGCCGAGAAGAGACTCAGATAACACACCAGCATTCATCCCCCCCCCCCCCTCCCCACCACCAAAACCACCACATATGACTTCTGACCCTGAGCCTCAAGTTCTGGGATGTAAATGACTTTTTTGTTGTACATATGCAATTACCACCCTGAATGTTCTAGTGATGGCTGCTGACAAAAACTGCTACGAACGACTATATATATATATTATTATTATTATTATTCTCATTGTTTAATCATATTCTTATTATGAAGCTAATGATTGTAGACTTGGCTGTGCGGAGGAGTGTGTATATTTAAATAGCATATACAGAAGAGAGGTTCTTTTTCTAAAGAAGTGGTACCCACCGATCACCAGGGCTCCTCCTCGCCGCACAGTGAGCATCACTACCTGAACGAACTGTGACCCAGACCAGATACGGCGAGAGAGGGGTCTCCCAGAGGGCAACACACACAACACACACTGTTAAAACACACTCACTGGTGCAGGAAACATGGACTCGCCCTCCACTGGACCTTGGTGTGTTTATCAGTTCATTTTAATGGCCGACTCCCAGCCAAAGGACACAAGAGTTTTGCTACTTTGCTGCACCGTCGGTGAGACATTTGTAAGGACGCGCCCAGAGATGCTGGACTGTGCTCACTCTTGCCTGACACGTCGACCAGGCAGACATGATGAGTGTGTGTTTGTTCGTGTGTTAAAATGGATTATAGCACAGCTGTGCCCCACAGTGGGTCTTCATAGCCTTGGACTTGATGCCCAAAAAGATGCCTGCTCTCATGCTAGAACTCTCCTTCTTGCTTCCCTGACCCCAGCGTGCCAAACATAATCATATTTTCCACACAGCCTGTTGTTGTGGCTCAGAGGGGTGTTTTTGTTGGTTTATTTGTTTTTTAAATTATCGCCTGTAATAAGGGAAAACCTCCATTGCCTCTAGTATGAAGCATACCCTTATATCTAGCACAGTGAGAGGAGATCTAGATTGATAGAAACAAAGCACCCAGTCCTACAGGGAGTCTGCGGTACCTTCTTGCCTGCCCTGCAAAGCAATAAAACCTACCGTGATTCAGCCTCAAGCTCCTCCCAGACGTTGCCAATAGAAACGTCAGCCTCAGTTTGAAGGTGATAGCAGCATAGCATGTCATCAATAGCTTAAGATGGTCAAAATCCTGACCTGCAGTGCACCAAGGTGCCACACTACAGCAATACACACACGCCTTTGTTTCTTTTTATATACTTGGAGTACGAGATGGGGGCCATTTTACCCAATATATTCAACACAGCAGTGACAGGAAAGATATCAATTAAATTGACTTGCCTGTGATTGTCTAAACCTTCTGCCAATCACGTCCAAATCCTCCCCAAAAGACGCCACGTCACACAGACAAACTGGTCCCGTGCTGGTCGATCTTTTCCTGGCTTCTGAAACACATAAGTAGAAGTTGACCCTAACCGCATTAAGGGGCGAACTTCTTATTTAAAGTCATGACGCCCTCAGAGCATGCAGCACTGTAGGTTTAGAGAAAGTTTAGATAATGTGACTCGTCACACCGAGAATCACCTGCCACCCCGCAGTCTGGACACAAAACCTTCAGTGAGGTTTCCTTTTTCCCATCTTTGAGTTTTTATTTTGGTTTGGTTTGATTTTCTTTAACAAAGATGGAGGCATAAAATGTGTCACTCACTGTTTCAGTCAGCGTTCTAAATCTCACACAGGTAACGTCAGGATCCACCTCAGACCGCTGTCGAGCAGCTGCTGTTGACATAAAAGTCATTGTGGTGCTGTTCAGTAAAGATGCCCCTCTTCTTTAGAAGGTTTTTTTTTTTCTTTTTTTGTGCAGTACCACCGTCGACGTGCCTCTTCTCTGGGGCTGCAGCTTCGCTTATTTAGCTTTTTTTAATCCCTTTTCTGTTTTGTAATTTTATGTTTTTAATTCTGCTGGCATTTTGTTTGCCTTGGCCTCAGTATGGTGGCAGGAAAAAAGAGTGAGGTCAGCCTTACCCTCACACACACACACACACACACACACACACACACACACACACACACACACACACACACACACACACACACACACACACAAGCACACACACACAATCAGTCACTGCACTTAAGTCTTTCCTGCCATGCCCCCTTTCCATCGCCAACATACCCCAACAGTCGCCCCCTCCTTTCTTTCCTGCCCCTCCCACCCTCTGCATCAGACGTCCCGAGCTTTGCTTTTGCCCGCAGGAGTGGACTTATGGATTCAAAGTGAACTGGGAGCACACACACACACACACACACACACACACACACCATACAGTCTGTGTGAGCGGCTCCCCACCATCACTCCCATCACTGAGCACTCTGTGGTTTAGCAGGCCTCAACGGCTTCACTGGCTCAGCCGAAATAGTACATTTTGGTGTCGGGCCTTTGCTCAGACACACATTCATCTCTAAGTATCCTGCTTTGAGTTTTAAGATTTTAGATCTGGAGAAAAAGAAGAGACTTTAACAAAGTAGTAAGAGAGGAAAAATGAAAACAATCAGGTTTGTCTCTGTGACTTTAGATTGCTTTGCTGACTATGGTTTATAAGACAGCAGATGAAATCAGTGAAATAAACCAAATACAACACCGGATTCTGCCTCTGTCTCACATGTGCTTCATCCATCAAAACTCTGAACACCCTCATATTGGTCAGTTTTTGAGTTTCATTAGGGCCTTTTTTCAGAATATTAGATTATGTTTTTTTTTTTAGGGTGAACTGAATTAGAAATAATGATTTTAATATTAATAATTAAATCATTAAATTTTCAAGCTTAATCAATAAAGCACTGTTTCCTTAAAAACATCAACAACCACCTGAGTTTGGACTGATCTTCAGAAGTGCACACTATTATTGTTTTGTAAGTCAAAAATTCATATGCTCTCAACAACAGAATTAAATTAGAGTGAACAGTTCTACATATTTCACATTCAAAATATATTTTCTGTTTAATATTTAACACTTTTCATTTTGTTTAGGTAGAGATCATTTTATTCAATTTAGGTTTTATATTGAATCATACAGAAATGTAATATATGACATGTCCCTATATCAAGAGCAATGTTTCCATATATGTAACTTATATTATACACATATATACATCCTGTGGATATATGAAGATATAAATGTATAGCATATGAAATACATAGCATATATGTTAACCAGAAAATATGTATATATATGTGATTTATATATGCAAGTGTAATTAAAATAACAAACATATAAATGCTGTAAGCATATATTTAGTATCTGTTTCTTATTCATTTCTTATTCAATAATTTTTACATATGTAGGAGCCAAACTCTTCATGTCAAGATATTGTACAAGTGTTATCTTTATTGCCCCCCAAGATATTCAGTTTGTTAACTTGATTGTACTTTGCACTTAACAAATGGATTGTATTATATATTTTAGTATAGAAATGGTATGATATGGCGAATATCTTGGCTGAGTCTACGCCCTTTTTTCTCAAGTTTCCCCTTTACTCCTATATCATCATTTCAGAGCTCAGGTAGAGCGGCACCATATAGTTTTTGAACGCACATTATCATCTCATCTAAAGAAGAATTTGTATTGTTTATTTTCTAGTTGTAGTGAATATTCGGGGCTGTTGTGATGGAACATACTTTGTCTTCATAATAAATATTGTTTATATTATAAATACCTTCGGATCCCTTTGCTTCCTTGGTTGGACGGGAATCTGGAGCGTGTCTGACTGCACACATCATAGACTCAAGGCAAGTTTGGATCACAGGATTGCCTCTACAATGTGTTTTGATTTTATATGTACTTTTATTCATTGGATATTCAATATATGTACATATATTACCTTTGCGTATGGGACTGACCAACCACTGAGGTCAAAGGTGACTGTCCCCAGTGGTCCACACCTATGTAAGTCATGATGGGAAGTGTGCGCACCAGTGAAGATAGTTCCACCTGCTTGTGTCCTGTAAGAGCCAGGCTCAGATTTCTGTCAGTGAAAACAGTTGAACTGATCCATGATCTTCACTTCAGGAAATGTGCTTTGCACAGAGAATGTTTTGTTGTCCTTGTCTTGTTCTTTTCTCTACCTGCTCACTGCTACTAACCAAGATCAGAGGTCAAAGGCCTGACTACTGCACCCTGAGCAGTACAGTATTATTGTGACTTCCATACACACACATACACAGGGAAGAGAGGAGAACATTTCACAACGGCAAAGAGCTGGGCGGCATGAACATCCTGAGGAAACAACACTCACTTCCTGGCAAATTAAGCCAAGCCGACGGCTGCTCGGGGTGATAACCACCGTCGCTGGCTGACCACTGAGTGGCTGAGGTAGAGCACCACCTCAGTGTCTGTCCCCGCCCAACACACATCCATCTGCTTCATCTAGATTAGTTGCAAGTCAGTTCACCTCTAGGACAGCCAGCAGCATCAGGAGCCTCAGTGTTCCTCAGACAGGATGGGCCTCCTACTACTGCTCACTTCCTTGCTCCTGTCGAGCTGTAAGACTTCTGACCTTTTACCTTCTTCTGCAGGAACTCTGTGGATTTCTTCATTTTGGGAGATGAGTAGATTTGTCTCTAACCTGGTGCTTTCTTATCTTGTTCCAAGACTTCCATCCAGGGATCGTGGTGGATGCACAGCGATGTAAGTAGAATGTTTTCTGCAGTGTACATATCAGTAATACATTCATCTCTATAATGAACTTAGATTTACGTAGTGACAGTTGATTGAATATCTTCCACGGGACTGTCATTGGATGCAGGAGAGCCAGTGTTTACGGAGCATCATTATTTTACTTTTCATATGAGCAAAGCTCTTAGGCTTTGAGTTTGGAGGAATTGAAAAATCTCAACAAACTCAAAGCCCAAGAACTTTGCACTGTCACTGTCTGTCGGCCACTAAAAGACAGAGATATATGGTCAGTAAATTGAAACAGTCCTGTTTGTTATCAGAACTTTCTCACCACTGGTGTCTGATACAGTGGAAAAGTTGTGGCAGGAAGTGTCACACGCCTCCCTGTTGGTGATGGAAGGCATGAGTCAGTCCGGATCAGCTGTAATGAAAAGTTTGAGTTGGAGCCAACTTATCAGGTGCAGGCTGGAGCCTCAAATCATATTTTAAGTGGCTGTATAGATGTGTTTGTTGTGTTTTTTTCCTGCATTGGTGTTTTAATATTTGTGGTTGCTTTCTCAGATGACTGATTTGCTCTATAATCTCTTTGATTGTTAAAAAAAAAAAAGTTGTTTTTTTTAGTTTCATCCACTGTTTTTCTCATGATTCTGGTCTTGGCCATGTTACAGTTAATGCTAATGCCTAAGTGCACATGTAGTATTTTACTGTTGCACTTGCTCTACTTTTAATACAGTTGGTTGAGTAAAATGGTTCCAGTCTAGAATCACATATTAAATCTAGGGGACTTTGGAATGATTAATGGGGTATAGGGAAAATAGTTCTTCACACAATTGTGTAAATTTTTTGATTGTTTCTCTAACCTTTGTTTATTTAATGAGATATGGGCTCATATTACCTCTTTGGGCCTTTAACTGTTGTAACCATCTAAGTAAAGTAGTATAGATGGGAAATGCCTCTTTGGTGGATACACACAGTTTGCGAACAACTGTTTTAATCTGTAATAATAGATTGCATTTCATAAATAAGTTTTTTTAATGTAAAACCTTTATTTGAATAGTAATCATAGCTATCAGAAATTTTGTGGAGTAAAAATAAAAAGTAGCATAAAATGTAAATACTCAAGTAAAAAAAGTAAATCAAAATTGTACTTAACTCAACATGTACCCACCATGACCCACACATTGTATCGAGAGCCTGTAGCAAATCTCTGCCCTGCACGCCTGATTTCTCTCATCACCAGCCTGCCAGGTCCCGCTGAATGATGCTGTGTGTGGGCCAGATTCAGCAGGCTCTGAAATCCTGATAGGTCCCCTGTGTGGCCCGTTTGTCTAACAAAGTGCTTTCCCTGCCTTTCTCCAGGTTTGTTTACTTCCTCACAACAATCCACTCTGAGTCACAACAGCAGCCTGTTGTCTCTAGTACTCGACCATATGGGTGATGTGGTGGGGAGGCTTGACGTACGTGTGCAGATGCTTTCTGTCCTCTGGTAACACTGCGGAAAACTAAACTGTTGGCACTTTGAAAAGTCATTTAAATGTGCCTTACTCTCTGGATGCACGTGACACTGAGGACCAGACTTCTTGCAGAAAAGCAAAGGTTATCCTAAAAGACAAATGTTGGTCCTTTAGTCTTGGACAGTCACTTTTATTCATGAACAAATATCTCCTGTGAATCATTCATTAGATTTCACCTCTTAGTGCTTGTGAGCCTCATTTTGGGGTCAGTTCAGGTGATTATCAAAGTGCTGTATTCATTCCAGAGACAATGAGGCTGAGAATTAAAAAAACATCCTGAAAGAAAGCCATGATTAATAACCATGATTAGACTGAAAACGTTTATTCAGGAGAAGAAAATGAGTGACTCATGAGGATTAAAGAACAATACAAGCATTGTTTCTTGTATGAGTGTCACGTGCAGAGAGGATGCTGACAACAGTATGATGACACTCCATTGCAATGCATTAGCTTCCTGAGTGCTAAGCTTACATTCAATTTTATGGCAACCGTTATAGAAATTTCAGTGGTGGTCGTTTCAAATATGCTTCAGAAATTCTGCAGAAGTTCAGTCCTTGTGAATATTAACGTCTGGACTCTTGATTTCTTCAGAATTATAGTAATCACCTTATACATGTATGTATAAGGCAGATGTTTCAAATGTCTGACTTCACAGGGGATCAAGATGAACATAGAAATAGACTCCATAGAGATGTCAAGAAAAGGACTCCAGATCCACAGTGCAAGTTTCAGCAAATACAAAATAAACAGTGGAAAAACTTGCTAAAGTTGAAAGTGGCTGACACTAGGCAGAGAGCAAATTCTTTGACCTGGTCTTGTATCTAAGTCTAATCCTTTTTTTTTAATTCACTCCCTAGCATTCACAATAAGAAACACCACCCTGTCCATTGAGCCCAGTCCTGATGTGACTCGGGGCACCAACGTGACTTTGAGATGTAAGGCCATTGTCAGCAGCTCGGGGGAAGAGGCGCTGAGTCGTGAGTACACTATATACAAGGGCAGCAACAAGGTCTACACCAAGAACACCAGCACATCGGAGGATCTGCTGTACCTGCTGCCGGATGCCAGAGTCTCCAGCACTGGGAAATATAAGTGCAAGATCAACATCATGGGCAAGGAGATGACCAGCGAGCCTAAAAAACTCACAGTAGAAGGTTGGTTTGTTTTTTATGGACACAGTATTAGCTGTCATGATTTGAGATGTTCAGGTGACTTTGAATGAGGATGAGGTTAATAGGCTACAATTGGGAGTAATTTTTATTTCAAAAGATACTAGAACAGTCTTTAAAATGCGTAAAAAAATTTTGATAGGATCTGGGGGTTTTTAGCCAAATTACTGTAATTAATAGCCTACATTCATGATTCTAAATCTCACATCTGCATGATCCAGAAATTTTATGTGACTGGAATGACGTTGGGTGCAACAGCAAGCTGGAGAACTTCTTCAACATGATGTTAATTGTTTCAGTGCCATCTTCTGCCAACTTAGTTTTTTTTCCAGCTCTATCAGAATAAATCTGAGCACATCTTAAATATTGGGTTTCCAGGCCTGTCAAAACCAGTTCTCCGACTTAACAAGGGTGTGGTCGATGAAGAGGAGGAGGTAATCGCCATGTGTACAGCGCCCGGCGAGACAGGCTCCATTTTCTTCTTCTTCTACAAGGACTCCAAACTAATCCTGGAGGAACAGGGCAGCTCCAACCAGTTTGAAGCCAAGTTTCCCTTCAGCAAAGTTGGCATCCACAAAATTCATTGTACCTATGCTGTGCTCATAATGTCAGCCTCCTTCAAGTCTGAAGAAAGCAACCTTGTCCATGTTTCAGTCAAAGGCAAGTAGTGTTTTAAAATAATAATACTACTACTATTTCTACTTTTAAAAGAATTGGACCAATCTCAGGGCTTTCCCTTCACTGATTTTGTCTCCTTAGAGCTTTTCAACGCACCAGTTTTAGAGATTTTCCCTCAGTCCAATATCTATGAAGGAGACCATCTCAACATCTTGTGCACCACCAGAAACCGTCTGGAAAGCTCTGAAGAAGTCCACCTCTATCTGAGCCATGGGACCAAGCTTCTTAGCAGGGGCGAAACCAAAGTCAACCACAGCATGGTCGCACTGGCAGAGGACCCTGGAGAATTTGAGTGCAGTGAAGAGATTAAAAAAGTAATCAAAGCCACCACAAAGACAATTTCAGTGACTGGTGAGTGAACAGAGGAAAGATGGCCTGCGTGTTCACTTCTATGTTTATGGTTTTCATCTTAAAAATGTAGACAATTTTAGGCGTTAACTCCATTCTTATACTGAGACCACATCTATGGAGCAAAATATAGTAAAAGTCAAAAACATAACTCCTATAAATAGCCTAAGATTGTTGGTTCAATAATGAAAATTAAGTGTAAAAAGAAATCAGTAGCTTAAAACAAAAAAAAAACTTTTGCTTTTCTTTTTTTAATATAATTCACATATTTATCTTTCAGTGGCTCATTTTATACAAAGCAAGCCAATGTTTTTAAGCATTGGCTTGCCAGTTAAGTGCTTTAGCCACTGCTTCAAGAGTTTGTACAGTGGTGCTGCAGCAGGGTACAGTAGAGAGTATGAGCTGATTAACATAACATGCACTGGCTGTTGTAAAAGGTTGGTACCCAGTGTTTAGATGGCAATGTTTTTAATTACTTTAACTCTTGATTGCTCCAAACACACATACATTCCATTTGAGTTATTTCATTAACAAATATTATTTATTCAATTTGAATTTATTATTATGACAATCTTCAATCAGCATTTACATTATTAAGTGATATTGGTGCAGATGATGACTTGTCGTCTTTATGTTTTGTTTTGTTTTTTTAAATCTATCCACAGAGCTATTCTCAGCACCTACTCTCACCATCTCTCCTGCTGAAGTCTTTCAAAGGGAAAATATGAAACTAACATGCAAAAGTGGAAGCTATGCCTCTGAAAGACTTAGTAGGGAAGAGCTGACTTACACTCTTGAGCCGCCCGACAGCCTACTGAGCCCCATCAGCCCTGGAGTATTTACTGGCAGGGCTCTGCTGAATGATTTCAACTATACCTGTGTAGCTCGAGCCAAGGGCATCGTGAAACACAGTGACACCCTGACTGTACGCCCTAAAGGTGAGCCCTGTTTCAGACGTAAATTTTAATACACAGATTAAGAGCGGACTTAATAGGTGCCTCATTACAAAACTATGTCATACATTTTACATATTGGCCTCATGTTCGAATACACCTGTGTCGTTTTCACATAAAAGTCACAATGGCACTCTTTCTTGGTCAGATTAACATAAAGGCTTCAACATTTTGGGAAATATGCCATGTTGCTAAAAGATTGATGAGAAGATTGATGCCATTCTCATGTGTGCCGGCTAAATATTAAACTACAGCCAGGGCGTGGCTAGATTAGCTTAGCATAAAGTCTCGTAACAGCTGGCTTGGTACTCTCCAAAGGTTTAAAAAAAACTAAGCGAGTTACAAGAACCACTAAGATTCATTCATAATTATATCTCATTTTTTATTCCACACAAAATGACAAATCACAGTTTTAAAGAGGATTAGGCTAATGCTAATGCTAAAATAAGCTTGCCTGCTCCACATTCAGCATGCAGGTAGCAGAGCAGGATTGATCTTTTAAGCAGAGAAATATTTTTCCCAGAATAAGAAATATACACAAGAAGGATCAAATCTATGTCTTGTTCACCTAATAGTGAGCAATGTTAAGGGTTAGCATTAAATTTTCATCTCTTATGCACAAAAAGAATAAAATCACTAATAAAATCAATAAACCATGAAACATGCAAAAGAGATGGGCATAAGTTGCTGAGGTTTCTGAGGCTCTTCTCATGTCAGATCAGTCTATAAAACAGAAAAAACCCTCTTGCAACCACATCAGTGTTAAGACCACCTCTTTTTTCAGTTTTTATTAATCCCATGGATGTATGACGAAATATCCAGCAAGATTAAAAATAACATGTGACTAAATGGTAATTAAATCCCAAATTAAAGCAGCTACGATGAAAGCTTATGTTGCTCCGCACAAACTGGATGTGTAAATAGGCAACTGTTGGCAAGGGATTTACTATAACAAAATCATTTTTTTTGTATACTTTTAAGTTTTTTGAGTTCATACATTTTTAAAAATTTATAATTTTATTTTTACTTGTGTAGTTTTATCTCAAGTATTGTACTTTGTTGTACTTGCACAAAGTCAAATTTCTACAGAGTAAACATGTGAGACTGAGCACGAATGAGTATGAGCACTGCAGCAGAGAAGAAGCTGCTGACAGAGCTCTAGGCCTAGCAGTTTATGAACAATACAGAAAATGCACAGCAATGCAAGAAAATTAAGGATGGGGACACTGGTGATTATGACCCAAATCAAACACACACACTATGTGTGTGCATGACAGATAGGTGCATGCTGGGTCTGGATAAATGTTAAATGCTCACAGTGGATCCTTGAGCTGTGACTTCTACTTTAACTTCAGAGCTTCTTCTGGCAGACTGGACTGGTTATATTTTATTATCATTTATTATTATCATTATTATTATCCATAAACAGAGAAACTGGTTATATATTTTTATTATTATTATTATTTATACTTACAAACAGAGAGGCTGAGTGGATTTACTATATTTTGTATTGAGAATTACCAAGCAGAGAAGTTGAACCTAGGGCAGAGGGTGGAGACTACATGAAGTGCACTGCTCACAGACTGACAGTCAGACCAGTGAGTACAACAACAAACTCAATGTTGTAACTTACTGTACTCAGTTGTTAGGAAGTGGCAGCCAGTTTGATTTATGTAGCTTAAAGATCCCATACTATATAAAGGTAGATGATGCCTGTTTTGACTATAAAGCAGGTCTAGGTTCTACTTAATACTTAATACTGTGAAAGTATCAAAGCCTCAGTCGACAGAGAAATGCACACAGCCTGTATTCAGAGACTGAGCCTTAAAACCAGCCGTCAGGACTTCTGTAACTTTATGATATCACAACAAAACAGTCACTTATCTCAGCTATGCCCCAAGCCCCGCCCACCTGGACCCACCATCCAACCTTGCAGGATTTGGTTTCTGAGTGTTTACCTGAAATCTGCTGTATTTGTATATGATCACTCAAAAAACAGACCTGTTGTTGCTAGAGCTCGGAAGAGAAGCCTGAGAGAGGAGATGTAAAATTACACTGAGATGGCTTTTGGTGCTTAAAACTACAAATATCTTCTTATGGAAATCAAAACACCAGATAAGTGTAAAATATGGGAACTTTAATACAGCTTGACAGTGCTGATCATGGACCCCCATTCTTTTTATTTATTGTTGGTCATTTTTGTTTAATTATCAGAGTTTTGTCCTTTTTTCCGGTTAATTCCAGTAAGAATGTAGAGAAGTGCTTGTATAATTGTGATACTCAGTTGTATGCACAGGCTGCAAAGTGTCTGTCTATAGAGATGGAATATTGTTGGTTTGAAGATAAGGTCTTGGCTTGACGTAATTTCATATTTATATTCTAACCATTTAATTTAATAGTTCTATTATATGACATTATTATCACCATATAACCTTTTTTTTTTTAAACCTTCCCCTTTTTAAAATTGTAAAGCGGTAAACAGAAAACAATATTTTTCCTTTACATCACTATACTTTTCAACTCACCACTGTTCTCCAAGTATTGTGCAAGCATTGTGTCTCTTTTCTTTTCTATCTGTAATGGTATCTGAATAAAGTAGTGCATGGGCATACTTTAAAATATACTGTAAAATATACCTCAACAAAAGCATGAGTTTAGCAAGGTTATATCCTCCATGTCTGAACAGAGCTTTTGTTTTTGAGTGATATGATTTGTCCACAGGGGCTCAATGTGTTTTCTCTTTCTGTTTCTTCTCTTTAGTTTCTGTGTCCATTCCAAAGATCTCAGTGTATGGCAAAGCGATCCTAGGACAACCCATCCAGATCCACTGTCACTCAGAAACTGGCAGCTTGCCGATCAACTACACCTTGATTAAGGGTTCCAAAAAGCTGAACACAACCACTGTCAAGATGCCCACTCAGAAAGCTGTCTTCACAGTCACCATCGTCAAGCCAGAGGAGTTAAAGAACTTCTTGTGTGAGGCTGGGAATAATCACGAGAAAGGCAAGCTCAGTGGAACACTCAACGCTGTGGCTATAGGTAAATATTCAGACAAATATGTTTATCTGATTTACATGGTTCAATAAATCCTCATCAATCAATAGATTACCACATGTAAAAAGTCTTGATGAGCCATGGCAGAGCCATATCAGCTTTATAAAAGGGTGTAAGCCACTACAGACAACTAAAAAAGAAAATCTCATCTCAAGGTCTGGTTGTTAGTTGTTATAGAGCTGTTAAAGATCAAATTTACTTTTTTCTGATCACCTGAACAAACCTCTCACCCATTTTGGCTTAAAAGTTGAATTCATTAAAAGCCAAGTTCATTCCTGACCTTTATACACAATATTTTATTGTATAATTTAATTCATCCAAAACACTTTCCCGAAATGTCAAACTATTCCACAGAAATCATAAATGTGGTGAGGGTGTCTGATTAGGTTATCTTTTAAGGACACAATAAAAACAGTGTGGAGTGATCTCATCTCTTTCCTCCATATTTTCCTCTTAGAGCCTTTGAGCAAAGTGACTCTGACCATCATCCCCAACCCATCAAAAGTCTCTGAGGGAGAGGATCTCTACCTGATTTGTGGTACTAAAGGCACCCCACCAGTCACCTTTAAGTTGTACCGCGTTGGCACCAAAGCACCGCTGTTCACCAACACCTCTCAACAGAATAACACACACTTCCGGGTCCCCTATTTGTCCAAAGAGCACAGTGGCAAATACTACTGCGAAGCTGTCAACCTCGCCAACAGCCTCGTCGTCAGCGAGAAGATCACCATAGAGGGTAAGAGTGATGAGTATTTATGCTCAGTAGAAACCCCACCTGCTCCAGACCTGTTGTTCTGTGATTGATCCTGACCTCAAGTATGCAAAAGACTTTTCCCTGTGCAGCCAGTACATCAGCTGCCCAGATCTTAGCTACATTTAGCTAACAACAAGCACAAGCTGTGTTTATCAGTGTGAGCTCAAAACTTTTCTCCTTTTTCTTTGGCTGCGGTCAAAAAGTTCAAATAATCTCCTTTCTTAACCATTTCTCCTTGACCTCGATGGAAAACATCATGAGGTCAAGGAAGGATGTGAAGGAGAATTGAGAAGGACTTAGGCAGTGCAGCGACTACCTAACTGCATTACCCTAAGCTTTTTCTTTTCTTTTTTTTTTAACCAACTTTATTTATAACACATGCACGATAAATACTCCTTTCGTAACCACAAACACAAAACAAAAAGGAAATTGAAATGTTGAAATAAGATAACATGAAAGAAATATTCCAGTAGAGGAAGTTGAGCCGTTATAATAATAATTCAATAAAAATAAGCGAGTAGGAACCAGACTGAATTATATTCAGACATAAGTAGGCTATAAAGAGTTTTGACTTTTTTATACATTTGTGAAGTAGAGAAAATGTATTTTTAGTGCAGTGAAACGACATTTATGTATAGATTGTTATGATGATGATAAAGATGATATGCTTGTTCTTCATGATGACTCCTAAGTGGATTTGAAAGCAAAGAAATCTATATCTATGGATTTCCATAAGTTTTGGATCGTGTCATTTATGTGTGTCTGCCGTTGTAAAACTACAATTGTATATCATTTTAAATATTGGTGCTTCAAGGAATTGTGGGACGGCATTTTCTCATTCCTTCATAAAGGAAAGTCCAGTGTTTCCTTTGCAAAAGGAGATAGATACTTCCGGGTCACTTCACTCAGTGAGGAACCTTCCTAAGCAAAAAAGACTTTTTGACCGCAGCCTTTGTGTCTTTTCATAAATCAGAGCCCTAGAGCCTTGGGATAGAAGCTGAAATATTTTCAACTCATATGGACACATCCGTCTGCCATCTTCTATTAAGTTTATATGCACTGTGCTGCTTCTAGATTTTGCTTTACGTTCAGTCTGAACATAGTTGGCACTGCACTGTTTGTCCTTAAAAGTCAAGGGACTTGCAAAATAGATAGATAGATAGATAGATAGATAGATAGATAGATAGATAGATAGATAGATAGATAGATAGATAGATAGATAGATAGATTGATTGATTGATTGATTGATTGATTGAATGATTGATTGATACTTTATTTATCCTCTAGGGGAAATTCATGAATTTTATATTTTAATAATTTAAAATATAAATTAAAACTAGAATTACTGGCTCATGGTTGTATGCCTCTACCACTCAGACTATTTTCAGGTTACATCCCTATCCAGAGTCATCAGCCACCAGACCAAAAACCACCAAAATCTAATCAGTTCATCCTTGAGTCCAAGTGAACATTTATACCAAATCTGAAGAAGTTCCTTCAAGGCCTTACAGAGATATTGTGTTCACAAGGCCACAACCGTGTTTTGTGAAGTTACACAACAATAAGCCTCCAGGTCTGGCTGTCAGCGGTGTGGAGGAATAATAAGATAAACAAGAGTCTACAGCCACACTAACGGCTCTGTGAGGCTCCTTTAAGCTAAATGCTAACTTGAGCGTCCTAACATGCGCACAACAAAAATGCTAACCTGCTTAACAGGCATAATGTTTAGCATGTTCACCATCGTAGTTTAGTGTGTTAGCATGTAAGATTTGCTAATCAGCATTAAACACAAGGTACATCTGAGGCTGATGAGAATGTCATTATTATTAAATGAATCAAAGGGTTGGACAAATAAAAAACTGGGTGACTGGATGATGGCACTGGATTAAAAGTTAAGGGTTCATACTGCTCTAGCAAGGTTAAAAATTCAGGTTTCTAACAAATATGCAGCAAAAAAGAAAGTTGTTGCTTGTATGCTATTTTGACCTCTTTTTTCTATATTTTCAGTCTTTTTTAAGGTCTACTTCTCTGCCTCTCTGTCTTGAACAACCTCTGTCATCATGTCCCATTTTATTCTTTCCTTGTTTCCCGTTGTGTTTCTGTTGTGTCACTGACTTTCCCTCTCTTCTTTGTCTCTGTGTTTCTGCCTCTACAGTACACCTGGCGTTGTGGAAGAAAGCAGTGATCGGGGGGGTTTGTCTGCTAGTGGTGTCGGTGCTGGCGGTGGTGTGTGTGCTGTACTTCAAATCCAAGAGAGGTAGAGAGACCTATAGTCCTCCAGCAACTCAGGCCTCTTATGTCTAAATATGTATGAAAACCTTCTTCTGCCTACATCTTCCTGCTCCTCTCATCTCTCCTCTCTAATTGTAGGTAAAAGAGAAGGAGCCGCTGAATTGTCAGTGTGAGTTGGCTCGATTACTTGCTTCCTCTGAATGTGACAGAAGTACTGCAGAAGTTAGTGACAGCGTAGATCTACTTTTATTAGCTGGCTTGGATGTCTGGTGGGCTATGATAGCATTATATCTCTGTTATTTATGGCCTTTAAAGAACCATCCTGATCATTTTTGCATGTTTGCACTGTAAAAAGCACAGAGATTTCATATTACTACAACCTTTTTTTAAAAGTTTTTAAACTGAATTCTCACCTTCCAGGCAGTAACTACTTGAATATTAGCATGATATTAAGATCAGCTTTTGTAAACTTGAAACTTGCTTGAGATAGGAGAAAACTCATAGTTTGTGGTTTGTTAATGACATTGACAATTTGAGAACCAGCTGTTGAAACATGTCATTCAAAAACTAGTTGCCTGGCAACCTCACAGTGATGAAAAGACTCCAGGATGTTACTGCTCGCGGCCAAAAATAGTCACCTCCGTAATCTGTAAACAGGCATTTTATACTTAAGCCTGTGTACAGATTAAACAAATGATACATAACATGTCACAACAGGTGGTGGTAGGTTAATTTTGTTACCTTTGGACAGACCCAGGCTAGCTGGTCACCCCTGTTTCCAATCTAGGCTAAGCTAAAATAACCCTCTCCTGACACCTAGCTTCATTTTTGTGAGAGTAATATTGATCTTCTCATGTAACATTCAGCTAGAGAGCAAATAAGCGTATTTCCCAAAATGTCAAACTATTCCTTAAGATTAGAAAGTAACGCAGTAGTAATTTGTGTCATTCGCGGTAATCTCCCACAAGATAAATTGTCCTTGTGTCTGGGCAAACCAGGGTGAGACAGACAACTCCCATTCATCTTAAAACAAATTGCATTGGTTGCCATTTCCCTGAAGGGGAAGCACATCCGACAAACGGGGACACCAGTGTAGAAATTGCAGGAAAAGAGTGACGGACAATATCTTTCGTTTGCTGCATGAATGTGTGCATCTTTTTATTAACATATCAAAAGACATAAAAACATGGAATTGCCCCCAAACTACAAAAAAAGTAGAGACTCCTTCACCCGGAACAGCCTTCTTTCTTAAAGTGACCGTGTCACCCTATTGACAGACCTAACACCAGGGAGAACACAGAATAACCTTGTGCAGAGAACATACAGCACAACAAACTACCAATTATGGTAAATTATGTACATAGAGTCCGCTACAACAGAACACTTTAATCCCAAGAGGGGATTCAGTAGATAGAGGCTAAAAGTAAGACCATTATCTCTTATCACGCTACAGTGCTAGCACCCAGTAATATACTGCATATTAGTAGAGCTAAGTTAATTGTTGTAGTTATTGTTATATGCTATACAGTAGTGTGTAGGACTGTATTTTGGTGTTAAAGTAGAGTTACTGTAACTGTACATTAAATATACAGTATGTACACACAAAGGTAGAAGTCTGTTGTACAGTACAAAAAAAGCATTTTTAGCAGAATAAAAGTAAAAAACAAAAGGAAAGGAAACCAAAAAAAGCATAAAAATTCTCAAACTTTAAAGGTACCATGTTGAGTTTTTAACCACTTGTGGCACTATGGAGCAGTGTATTGAATCACTTTTTTGTTTGTATGTTGTGCACTTGGGGTACGTTCCCACCATGCTATTTAATTAATCTATGAGTGGCAGTATCACGCCAAGAAAAGTAGCAGTTGGTTGCATTATGGCATTTAGTAGCGTTTTAGTTGACTCCACTGCTGTCCCAGCTGACCTTGTTTTCACCATTTCTCAGAAAGCCATCGATGGCTCTTGTAACAGTGCCATGACACAGAGGTTTTTTTAAAACAGCAACAGGTAGCTTGGTTTTACTTTTCTCTAGTGTACCACTGTCCTCGTCATTATCTTAACAGCCATTAGTCATTTCCCATGCCTCAACAGTCATTGCATGTTTCCTATTGTATCCACAGTATACGTTCTCTATCCCATCATCTATGTTCTAATATGCATGAAGAGGTCATGTGGTGGTGACCGGGCTCTCTTTGTTTATGTAACTGTCCACGATGCTGTAGATATCCTCTTCAAGTTTACATGCATGCACAGTGTGTGTATGTGTGACCATACTGTCTTTGTCTCTGACCTTTTTGCATGTACATTGTGTTTGTGTCTATGTATTGCAGCGGTAGGAACAGTAGGATGGATTTTTTTAGAATACAGTTGCTGTAGAAAGTAAGCTCTCCAAGGTACAAGATGCTTTAGTATCATAGTACATGGCATTGATTGTCAATTGTTGCAAACCGCTTAGAGCGCCCATTATCATCTTCTTCCAGGCGCAGCGCCACTCTATGATGGCATGGAGGGGAGAGTGACCAATGGGACACGAGATAGCGTGGCGTCGCTTCCCACTGACATCAGCAAAAGGAGCAGCTACAGTACCCCAGCCACAGTTTAGAGATGCCCTGCAGTGGGAGGGACTTGAATTCAATAATTAAAAAAAAAAACTTTCAAGAGCAAAGAAAAAGAAGTTCTAAGAAAAGACATTGAGAGCAAAAATGTAAAGAAACAGTGTACAGCCCAGTGTTGAAGGATTTGGTGATGAGTTTTCTCAGTGAAAAGGAGGGGCACTTTTATGATGAGATATAAACCAGGACCCGCTGCTCCCTCTCCCCTCCTCCTGCAATCTAGATGGCCTTTGATTTTACAATTAACATTATTGTCTTTGTCACCTGTGTCTGTGATTGCATGCCATTTTTTGTTGCAACTGCTCTATTTGTCTAATGTGCATGTATAAAGAAGCTTGGTGACAGATTAATTTGTATACATTTTATCACTATCACAGGAAATGTGTGTATATATTTTTGGTTGATCCCTTGACTGACTGGAAGAGACACTTGTAGAATAAAGATGTTGGTTTTATTTAGAAGTGTGTCACTACCATTCATTTTGCTACAGCTTTTGCATGCTATTCTAAATTCATATGTAGTAAAAACTATTCTAATGCAAAAACATGCTAAGTCCAAGAACGTGTTGGATATTATCATGCATTAAATGTTCTATTTTGTTTTGAATGGTGCAACCAACCCTCACTGCAGGTTCAAGACAAGAATACCAACATATTATGAAGTTGATTCATTTCCTTAAAAAGGAATGCACAACAGAGACTTGCTTGAAAAGCTGAAACAATGGAGTCTGCAAGAAACTTCCTCTGTTGGCACAGAGCAGGCTGAGGGGGTCAGTGATAAAACTGGTGGTGTTGGGGAGGGTGGAGCTTATTTTGTTTCAGGCCAAACAAGTTTGAATGCATGCAGCAGGTGGAGGAAATTAATCATATGAGCGTTAGTTGAGATGTGTGTAAGATTACATTACCAACTGGGAAGTTGTTTTTGCCAGAACTTATTGTGTAGCCGTTGCTGAATTAACAACCTATTGTGCACAAGGCAGTGGAAGATTTCTGTGTGTACCAGATGAAGACTTGAAAATGTGTTCCTTTGTTACTGGTTTTGTAACAAAGCCTGGAAGCCTAGAGATATCACACAAAAAGTGTCTCTCATCTTTCCTTTGCTTTTACAACAGAATATAGTCTTGATATCTGACCTTTGTTCATGTAAAAATAGTTCAAGATTTTGGAAAAAAAGCTTACTCACTCTCTTGCTGAGAGTTAGATGCGAATATTGATACCACTCTCGAGTTAGCTTAGTTTAGCTTAGCATAAAGACCAGAAGGGGAAAACTGTTAGCCTAACTCTGTCCAAAAGTAGCAAGTCTGTCATTTTTACAGTTCAGTTTCTGTCTTAATTTAACAAACAAGTTATAACATGGTATTTGGCACAATTTAGAGGTGCTGGTTGGTAGATTTTTTTTAATTCTGGACAGAGCAAGGCTAGCTTTCCCCTGTACCAGTCTGTATGCTAGGCTAAGCTAACCGGTGGCTAGTTGTATAGCTTCATATTTAGCAGACAGATTTAAGACTGGTATTGTTCCTCTCATCTAATACTCAGCAAGGATGCAAATAAGTATATTTGCCAAAAAGTGAAACAATTTCTCAATAATAACAATAATTCTTTTTTCAAAAAGAATTATCCAAACATGTAAATGTAAGGTGATATTAATACCTGTGGCTCTATAATTGTCATTAGTTTATTGTTAATTACTTAAATTAAAGGAGCTATTTGTTATGTTGTTATGTTATTGCTACATAGCCAACATTAGTGTTAACAGCTGTTTACCAGTCGTGCCAAGTGCTTTAGCTATGATTGCATTTATAAGCATGAGGTTATAATGCAGACTCTAGCATACTCCCTCAGGACAGACTGGACTCTATGGGGACTTAGTGTGGTTAGACAATCCGGCCGGACCAGGGCTAGCTGGTTATTATGCTAATTTCCGTAGAAGAAAAGAAGTGATAGAAGTAAAACAAGAGTTAACATTGAAGTTGCTTTCCACCGGTGGAGACAACTCTTGGCAAGTAAAGGAATGAAGCTTGATGCTGAACTGGCAACGTTTCTTCTAGACTGGTGAGTAAACAGCTGTTAATGCTAATGCTAGCTGTGTAACAATAGCCAAACTTAAAAATAGCTCCTTTGAGGTATATATGTCTTTATTCTGATCTGTATCGGTGCAGATTTTTTAGACCTTAATTCAAGTCTTGGTTTGGTCTTATGACCTGATGTCTGTCTTTCTGTGTCTTACAGTGAGGGGGGTCCGAGCTGCAGTCAGTGTGTGGAGTGAGCGACCACCTGAAGCAGGTGAGCAGTGCTTGTAATACAGTTTCTCTGAAAATGTCTTACAGTCCCTTGTGTGGTAAGTGTATTTGACATGGCTAAAATTTATAAATTGGTACCTGCGAGATGATTTTGGTTTTAATGCATCTTCTCTGCTTTGCTACAAAAATAATTTTAAAAAAAGTTGTTGTATAAATGTTAAAATACCACTGGGTCTATTCTCATAAAAATATGACGCTATTTCTTTTTGTGTGAACTTATCACATGAAGTCATGGTGACTTGATCATTTGTCATTGTGATCAACAGGAATTCATGATACATCCTGCAGTAATTGCATGCATTTATTAAATCATCCTGAGTAATATAGCACTAAAAACAATTTAATTAAAGAACATCTTTAGGCTTCTCTCAGAAGTAACATAGTCCAGCTTAAAGTGTAAGAAGTTCCCAAAGTGGTAAAGTACCTTAAAGCATAGCTAAAATTAAAACCTTTTAAAAGTTTTGGATAAAGAAAGTACAGAAAAGAAAACAGTATTTTCACAAAACAATCCCATTTAAGGTTCAACAAGCTCTTATCAGCACTTTAAAATGTCCTGCTCAACAGTGAATAGTTTATTCACTTGTCATGGAGATTGCTCTGTTGGCATATAAGCTCAGCAACTGTATTTATATCATCCATGGCACTTTTAGGACTTCTCATCCATGTTGTTTTAAAAGTTAAGTGTAAAGGTTCATTCTTGATCATGAAAATTGGAGTCTGACAAAACAATCTGTAGCACATGTGGTTGAAAGCTCCAGAAAAGGCAAGCAAGTGGACCCTGAGATGGGATTGTTTTTGTCTGACCTATATTTCCAAAGAACTTAATATGAAGTCATGCAGCGGGTTTAGTGTGTTTCACAAGGAATTTTGATCATGTACTCGATGCAGCCAATGACGAGGTGAGCAGTGTGGTGTCCAGCGAGCCAGATGTGGAGTACACGGAGGTGGTGCATCCCCAGCCAGCAGATGCTGTCAGAGGTGAACAATTTACATGCAGACACACAAACAAAATGTGTTGACTATCTTTTTTCTGCCTATTCAGTTTCACACGCTCCAAACCCAATGATGACTTTTTTTCCCTCTATTTTTCCACCATTCTGCTTATTCTCCCCCTCTATTTCAAACCACCACACTAAAACCATTTATCTCTGCGTTGTCCACATTCCTATATAGTTGATAAGACAGTCCAGCACTTCCTGGGAGGGGCCTAATTACCCATAATTAATACATCTCCGCGTTGTTGTAACTGTAGGGATAACTGCTGGGATTTCCAAATCCACTGTAGATCTTATAAACAGGAAGGGTTGAACTAACTGCCAGGCTGGTACTGGACCCCTCTTCTTTATCGTCGTGTGCTCAAGGTCCCAACCGGCCAGCGATCATAGTTACAGAATGTGACACAAACCGCCTATTTTTAGGTTTTTCTTCATGACACATCAAAAACAGACAGTATCTACTAAATTTTGTCTTTTGATGTTCAAGCAGGCTAATGTGTTGCTTTTTACGTTAACAGTCCCACTGAGAAAAGGCACAGACACAGTGTACAGCGAGCTCAAAAACCCTCCACATGGTGAGTTTAATATTAAAGCTGCACCGGTGAATATTTTTATATTAACAATGGATTGAAAGACTACATGTACACTACATTTCAAAAGAGATTGTTCGTAATGACAAGGCAAGGCGAGTTCATTTATATACAGTATATTCAGAGTTCATTTATATATATTCAGACACAAGGCAATTGTGCAGTTGTGCAAAAGTGCTTTACAGAGGCATTGAAACACATTAATAATACAACATAGAGATGACATTAAAATAGAATTTAAAAACAATTTTAAAAAATGTCATAAAGTAATATAAATACGTTATATCAAGACTGCAGAAAATCAGGTAAGAAACCTAGGATACCATTTTAAAAAAGTGCTACAATGATAAAAGATAAATGCAAACATGGTTTAAAGATTAAAAAGATGTTACTATGTAATATATTGGTAAGCTGCAGCAAATAGTGATCTTTTAAGCCCTGGTTTACATGATTCAACAGTTTCGACAGATCTCAGGGAAAACAAAAAAAAACGCCTGAAGTAAATTATCACCCAACTTTGCTCTTCCCTTTAGCTCTGCAAACATCTTAGCATCTTTCAGTTCATTGTTTCTAGCCACATCAGGCAGCTGTTTACCACTGATAACCTTACTGTACACTACCTGTCCACATAATGGAGCATTTAGCAGCTGGTCAGGTATTTTCCATAATAGTTGGGTACAACCAAAACAAACTTAAAAGGAGAGTGAAAATTCGATTTTTTTAGGTGGTCAGCAACAATGTCGCTCTGTGTCTGTTGCATGAGTAGGGAACTGTTTGCCAACATGTCAACTCCATAAGATGATAATATATCACTGCTGTGTTTTCAGCTCGCTGCACTGCCCCCAAGTTGCAAAAAGTTTAGTTAATGCAGCTTTAAATACTTTCACTGCAAACTGATGGTATAGAGACACTTCTTGATCTTATCAAATATCATTGCCAAGATGAGTTGGAAATGTAACATGTATTACTAATGGAAAGACAGTTTACCCAGGCCAGCTACAGAACAGTGACCATATCCTGTTACTGCAGCAAAGAACTTCCTGTTATTAGAACAGCAGCCAGACGCTGGACATGTCT